TGGAAGAATTTAATGAGCTGAGAAGCTTATGTAACAAGGCGAACTTGCAACTGGGAGTGCCCTAGATCTGCCAGTTGAAGTGCCGAGGTGTTACAGATTAGATCCTCAGTTCTGCCGCGGTGCAGTAATTAACTATCAACTCGTGTAAACACCATGCAGTCCAACAGATTAAACAGCATTGCTTTATGAATAAAGTGGTGGATGTTGAATAACAACTTAACCACCTGGTTCTAGAGTAAAAACTTGCTTAGATCTTTACCATCTTCAATTTATTAAGGCTTTCAATCAAGTCACACTTGCTAATCAAATCCTATCAGTTCCCTGCAAGCCACCAATCATTAAAAAGAGTAAAAAAATAACTTTGGAAAAATATTACAATAACAGAAGCGGGTGTTTTCTGCTATAGATATATGTGAAGAGCAGGGCTTTTCAAAGAGCTTAGAACTGTAAAGCTGCACTTCATTTCAATCTCACTGAAAAGGTATCAATAATTTCTGGCCATATTGAAGTCAATGTAGACTGAAAACTATGCTAGTATACCGATCACATAAGTAGCTAGCCGGTCAATCCCAAGCAACAAGCGCTACACTCCGTTCACCCCTAAGCTGACACTGCGAAGAAAGCTATGTGCTCGTTGGACCAGTAATATGCCTACCTTTCACCACGTGATCACCTTCCCACCCATTTCAATGAGCAAAAAGTGCAGTCAGGTGATGAAAGAGGTGTGGTCGATCGGTTTGGCGAGTGCATAGCTTCCACTGCATTGTCAGCTTAGGGGTGAATGGAGTATACAAATGGCTAGTTCCCAAAGCTAAGAGTCAAAGGAACTGCCCTTTTTGTAACTATAGTTCGAAGACAAGCCGTGTGTGGATACGGTTCACCCAGAACAGACCTGGAGGCGAAGATTGGCTTGAGAAGCCGCTCTCCATTCATCCGTCCTTCGCATGTCCGCTACCATCTGAAAAAGCCACCACAGCCAACAAGCCAAAGCTCACATACTTGCTGGAGAGTGAAAGATTTTATGTACAAGCAGCTACTATATCAGTTAGAAATCATAAAATGATGTAGCATGAAAGCCCAATTACACTTGATGCATGCAGTTCGTCAAATTTTGAGTGGCAAGAAACCATTTTTTGCAAATTGCCTTGGTGTGCACAAGCGTGCAAAGGATATGAAAACTTCACTGTCTTCAGAGTTAAAAGTCAGCATATAAAAATTGTTTGGTTTAATTACCTTCGTAATAAATTTTATGTCTGCAAATTTGGCTGCATTAAGATGTAGCATGAAAGCCCAATTACATTTTGTGCATGCAGTTTGTCAAATTTTTAGAATCAAGAAACTATTATTTGCAAATTGCCTTGATTTGCACGAGCATGCAAAGGATATGAGGACTTCAATGTCTTCTAGTTAAAGCCTGTATAAATGTTCTCTCTCAGCCTGATAATCTTAGTAATAAATTTCATGTCTGCAAATTCAGTTGCATTTAAGCTGTTTGTTTCATCAGGGAATATTTTCACAGTATTGAAGGATCTGCTCTGCTCGCAGCAATTCTGCTTTCCCACATTTACACTGTTGCAAATGTCCGATTTCTCGCCAGGCCACGGCCAAGACACTTTACCTTCTGATGAAGCTTTTCCATTTTCTCCAGATACTTCTCTTCTGCAGCTTTAAGCAAGGATTCACATCTGTGCAAGAAAAGAAATGTCAGTGAGAAAGTGCCAGCTACAAGAACAAATTAATCACCTGCTCTCTACAAGGCAGGGTGCAAATTTTCTAACCTTCTTACTGATACTTTTTTCGTTCTATCCATTCCATGGATTTTTCACTTTACAAAGCAGACTATAAAAGCAGTGGCTATTTCAACATTTGCAGTCAACATCCCTACAACTGTTATTTTCACGTCCCACACGAAAGAAGTTTCATTATTTAGTTATGTTATTTTTTATGAGCGTTTTACCCAGTTTTATTGTGAATATGAAGAATGTAAAGCCAGGCCTTTTGGCACAGTGCGCAGACTATCTTCTCTGCAGCGCTATACTTTACAATGTTAAATAAACAACCTACTAACTTAATATATTGTAACGACGCAAGTTCATGACAACCATCACATGATTTCGTTATGCTGGGCTGTGCTTGCACGAACGAAGCACGGTAGATGCCGAGGCTCTGGACAGGATTGTGCTTGTTTGGCGTTCTCATTTAATGTGTCGGACAGGTAGCAGAAGCCTTTAGTTAGCTCCTCAGGTGGTGACAACATTCTTACACAGCCAGATCATTTATTGTTACGAAATCACCACAATGCACTGCTATAGACATACCTTGCATAAAATAAAATATGAGCTACATCAGATGTACCTTCTAGACCAGACACTGCAGAAACATGTTCAAAAGCAGTGTGCCTGCCAGTGGAGTTTTTGGTCTCGAGATGTGGTGTACTTGAGAGATGCCAGTCTCCAGGACACTTGAGCTGTTCCGGCCCCATTCGTCTCGGTATGCAGAAGCCCATCCCCCCCCTTCCCGAGTGATGCCACACCCACAAACCCAAAACAAACCTGTTGAAATAGTTTGCTAATTTACGGGATCCGTCAAAATAATTAAGCAAGTATTTAACAGGGGATGACACAACAGAAAAAGCAGTTATCTTTATGTGGGACATCAAAATAATAAAATAGCTGTTGTGACGGAAGAAATTAAAACAATAAAATTAAGTTATTTTCATTCCTTCCGGAAGTGAAAACGCAAGCATGAAGTTACATAAAAACTAGCTTGCCACTTGAAGCAATTTTTGTTGTCAGAAGACTAGCATCCGGTCGCCTACCTAAGCCAAGGATTTTATTCTTTCGATTTACTTACCGAGTTATGTCCGAAACATCCAGCAGGTAGCGGCCAATTGTAGATTTATTGATTTTGTTTTTCCAAAAGAATGACTTGCATGCTGCTTCATGTTCCGGCCTGTGGACAAAGGAAAATGACTAGAAGCTAAAATTATAAAAAAACTATTAAAAGACTCAATTGTTGTCCACTGCCATATTAGACTGAAATGTTGCAAAATTCACAAAGAGTGCAGACCCCCCCCATTCACAACAGTCTCATTAAACTATCAGGCATAATTTTCAGCAGATGGTACAGAGTCTGCCATGGAAACCAGTGAGGGATTTTTCGCACCACATAGATAAACTTTGCATCACAGAATGTTGAATCTTTTATTGAAATGTAGCTCCAGCAGAGATGATGATTGGAGGCAAAAGTTTCAACTCGCATAACAACACACTACTCCAACAAGAGACAGTACCACCTTCCATTGGCAGTAGACACAAATGTGACTTCATAGATTGCTGGCGAGCACAGTGCACTTATTAGCGTTGAGATGTTTCGGTGGTGCACTCTTATGGTTTTCCATTCAAGACGTCACGGCCAGAATTCGCCTCGCCGTGACGTCGTGAGTGGTGTAATCTTGACTACTTATCATCAGTTGCGAAGCACAAATCCGATGGTGTGTGTAAATATAACAATAGAAGGTTGGAGTCATCCCGTTCTTAAACTAAGATTGTTACAGTTGACACTGGGGCAATGCGCCAATTTCCGTCGATAAAAGAAATATTAATCCAAATAAAGATGCAGCGAGCGTTTGGCCAATCGCGAATTGCAACCGCAGTGACGCTTTTGGTCGTGCACGTCGCTAATAGTCTGTTGCAGGTGTAAAATAGCAGGGCAAGCCCATCCCACAAGGCTCTCTGCTTGCCATGATTGCAAATTCGGGGGTTTCAGCGCCAAACCAACAAAGGGCAACTGGCATGCCCCAACGAATGACTGAGGATTCATTTTGACCGCCTGGCTATCTTTTGATGTTCAACCAAAATTCACAACACTTACAACCCCTGCAGGTCAAATTACCCGCAGGTGTTGCGAGTCCCTTACGTGGCAAGATGCAGTAGAAAGGTGTGACATCTGAAGCTCAGTGCTGCGTCGACTTTTCTTTCATGTTTTGGAACTTCGGTGGAGCAGAAGTAGCACCACACTTTCGCTCCATCTTCCCACAGCAAGTCATGAACTTCGGGTGCCTTGAGATACTGCTTGGCCTCCACTATCTGAAAGGAATCGACAGCACGCTTTAGTCAGATATAATCGACGGTCATGCCACAGACCCCCTAAGCATCCCGAGGTCTCGAGCGACATCCCCTCGTAAAATAAGAGTAGAAGTAGCTACCATGCTACCAGACATTATAAAAAGCAGTGCTCTTAGAAAATATCAGCAGTACCGATTGCGAATTAAGAAGCTAAAAGCAATAAGTCGTATTCACTGGACGCCACAACTGAGCCCGTTGTCGCACAGCGCTAATGGCGTGGAAAAGACGATATGCGGTAGAACACGAAGTATATGAAATGTCAGGATGGTCGCTTCCAGGGACTATCGTTCTTGTTGTCGTCACCTTTCTCAGATATTTGGCCAAGACGTTCTTCACGATCTCTTGGTGCCTCTTGGAGTAGACGTGCTTCTTGCCCACATTATGGGAGACTCTGCACAGGTCGCACAACGTGAACTGGATGAAGGAAATGGACATAGTTGATGATAATACGCCCAGCTGATTCGACCTAAAGCTTCTTTAACTCAACCAGCGCAATACATAAGAACACCTGCTATAACAAAACCAGATACACTCGAGATGCAGACCCGATGGACCCAACTACGGACCCAACGGAGCGCAACCGACGCAACCGCAACGCCCAAGCAGCGCAAGCTCCACAAGCGAAGCTAGCCCGGTGCCAGTGCCACTGCTTCAGAAGCCAAGTCAAAAGTCAAAGAGCTTGGCTTCTTCTGTGGGTTCTGTGATTGCAAATATCTTTCTTTTTCTAGCAATTCTTCAAAAGAAAAGTAAGTTCAACGCGGAAAACTTATATAATGCTTGATTAATTTTTTTAAATATATAGTTCATGTAGAAAAGCCAAAGAGCTTAGGCCAAGTTATCAAGCCAACTTTTCCAAAAATACCAAGCCACGCCAAGCCAAGCCAATTGATCAGCGTGCGCGTTTGGCTTCGCTGTACCTGCTGTACTGAGCGGCTGAGCAAATGTCAGGATGACAGTAACGCAAGAAGTGCATTTCGCCCATCATCTAGCGGCAAATGAAAAGGTAACGAGGGACAGAGCCCTGAGAAAGCTCACAAGATGGATACGAGCAAAGTCTGCCCGAGAAGACACAGGTAAGCAAGCGGCGTTCTCGGCCCCGAGTTCGAGATTTTGCGAACACGCGTGTTTTCGGGATTGAATCGACTAGCATTATTTGCAGTCACGAGTATATATTTCGATGTTTATATTTGGATAGGTGATAAGATATTAATAAATCGAATTGATTTTATCTTTAGGGAATCTTCGTTGCGTATATTGTCTGAGCTGTAGTAGAACTGCTTTGTGTTCAGATCTCTTTTTCTTCTCATGTGCAGAATTCACGGAAGAAGCCCTGATGAAGCTATGGAAAGGACTGTTCTTCTGTATGTGGATGTCAGACAAACCGTTCGTTCAAGTAAGATCCCCATTTTGGTTTATTAGATCACTGTCTGGTCGCAGGATTGGTTAGCAGAGATCACTATGCTCACACGAATTGTTCGTGGCCCTGGATGATGTTCTGTATGTTTCAAGTCTCTGTTCTGTCGTTTTCAGCAAGATCTGGCGAACAACATTGCCGGTCTGATCCACTGCTTCGCTCAACGCAGCCAGGCCCTCCTGTTCATTGACACATTTTTCAAGACAATGGCCCATGAGTGGTTTGCCATTGACAGGTTTCGACTCGAAAAGTTCATGATGGTGAGTCATTCGCTTAAATTTGTTGTTTTTGTTGTTGATTAGAAAAAAAGTAAAACAAATCTCGATATACATGGCTTGCATTGACGCCACGTTAGCTGCCATTGCTCCGTACCATGCTCTTGTGCCCGTATCCAGGGGTGGAACGGCTGCGCCATTTTGCGCCATGTTGCAGAAACTGCGCCAAAGCCAATACCTCGTGCCATTATGCACCAAATCGCAAAACGTGCGCCAAAAATCTTTTTATTTTGTCTTGGTTTCGGTTTTATTGACTCGACTGGCAACAATGAGCGCGTTTAGCCTGGTCGGCCTTGCAATCCTTTGTTCTGTTTATTCTCCCTGTGTATCCCGAGTCGGACGCGCGCGAAAAAACTCTGATTCTAAACACTATACCACCTGCGACTGGATTGTATTCTTCAACCATAAGCAGTTAAGCAAGTCGGCTGAGGTGAGGTCGAGTCATTAAGCGTCAGATTGCCTGAGGCTCTGCGGCCCGGGATCCGGACGTCAGCCATTTGAAAACAAATGAGCAAAATGTTCCTTTTAGTACTTCACCGTTAGAAGTTGGAACCGCATTAACGCAAGATAAATCATGATTTGATAGAACTGAAACGCGGTCCGATCCAAAACCTTGCCGGCCAGCAGCTCTTACGTGAGTGGTAGATCTCGGCGTACATTAACCTTGCTCCTGCTTATCACTTCAAATACGATAACTTCGTTAATCGTAGTCTGCTGCTTCAATATCGAGTTGCTCAATAGGATAAACTCGAAATTTGTTTCCCTGTTCCCCCGTGCAATTGCACGTCCGTTGCTTATGCACGTCACGTGGTTCGCACATATAATTACTATGTCGAGCACAGTGGGTTGTACAATAAGCAGTGCTGGCTTGCATTTTGAGCAGCTGAAAGCCACTCGGAAAATATCAAAGGCGCTATCTTCAGAAACATAGGGTACTTGATTGCTTTTTGATTCTCATTAAGGCTCATAAAGTTTCAAGTTTTCGCATTTGTTACACTGCTATCCCATCTACCTAGGTTCCTAACCACTCATGTTCATCTGTGCTGCTAAGCACGACTGAAATTGCTCCCGTGCTTGTCTAAGACACAAGCTGAAGTGCAATGAAAACTGATCTGAGCTGCTCCTAGCCTGCTCCAGAACGTAGTTTTAGCTGCTCCCAACCTGCTCCAAACCAGCTGTTTCAGCTGCTCCCAAGTACGTTTCACGAGTTCCACTTGTTATCTCGTGCAGCATACATTTCGCACCATCGAATTTGTTCTTCTCAGTGCACAGGAGCATGGCACGGAGCAATGGGGGCTGGTAAGGTGCCATAACGTTACTTGCAGGGCATGTACTATTAACTACTTCTGGTGTATTGTTTGTGTCATGTGAGCATACGAAACCTCTTTGTTTGGAAGACCAAATTTTGACTCGGGCGTCGTGTCAAATTCAGTGATAACCCGGGATATTCCGTGCTGCTTCACGGTGGATGTTGCACAGACGAACTTTGTGCGCAACTTTTGCCTTGACGGTGCAAACGCGATCAGGCTTAGCGTCTCTGAAAGAACGCTTCGACGAGAGGGGAATTCAAAGTTTGCGTCTTGTGCGGCTGCACACCCCGATTTCGACCCTGCTATTTCGTGTCTCTCACCTTCTTTGAAGCGTATGCTTGTTCACTGGACTCTCCCACTGTATGTGCAAGTACACTCACTCAATGACTCCTGTGCTGGATTTTCTATGTTGCCCACCAGAGGCCAGCATGTGACACAGAAGGGACACAAAGTGCTGCGTCAGTTTTCGGCTACGTTCAGTGAGGACACAAGTTCCAACTGACCACCAAGGCAGCGCTCTCATTTAACCCGTTTTCGTACAGTGCTCTTTTGTTATAGAGGCATGTTCGAAAAAGCTGTTAGGAGCCAGTCACATAACGGATTCTGCGTTAAAAAAGTTTAAGGACCACTAATTATGGCGAGCTGGTGTTTGTTAATTCTCTGAAACTCACAAAAACCCCATACCCAGCTCCACCCCGTTGTTTCGACCTTAAACTGGCGAGCATTGGCGGGTGCTCTTTGAAGCAGAACGTTAGTTATGACATTGCGGGCTCAAAGTGGCCTGGTGTCCCCGCAGTTGGTGCGACGCTTCTTTCGCCAAGGCCTGGTGTTGGCGTATGCGGGAGAGTGGAACGATGAGAACATTGTGGAGTTCTGCGATGTCCTCAAGGCTACAGCCCTCCATCCGAGCCGCAGAGACGTGCCGTTGGGGCTGAAGATGCACGTCGTGGACATTTTCCTGCAGGAACTGTCCAGGGTGCACGGCGGAAAGGTGAGTGGAAGGCAAACATTTTCATTCCAGAGTCTTGTTCTTCATTGCTGTATGCACACAAAGTAAAAAGCAAATTTCGGGGGTGCCCTAGGCATACCACACCCAGGAAGAAAATAGAGAACTTATTCTTTGTCTGGAAGTAGGATTAGTTCATAGTATGTATAGATACCAAGTGATTGTGTTGGCTGTTTCTTTAGACAGCAGGAAGTTAGCCAGCCCCAGTGGACATCTGGTGTCTGCTGTAGATGAGAAATTTGGCCAGTACAGTACCACTGCTAGCCTGGGGTCTTCGACGAGCATCACGCAGTAGAGATGCGCGGCCACACGCCGCTACGATGCTCATCCAGATCGAAATGGACAGTCGGGAAGTTCTGTATAAGTGAGGACCAGATTATTCTGGTCAACAATGTACTATCGCAAACAGTATGCGAGTGGGGACTGCACCATGCTCATTTAACGCACTGGCCAGTCTTCAAAAGATTTTCTGGCCCAAACTAAGGCTATAACTTAAAAGTTTAGGTCTTAGTCTCGAGACTGTTCGACAGATTGAAAGGTGATGGGGAGAGGGGTGACCGCAGTCATAGCAAAAAACCAAATTGAGTGTTATTTCTCGTGTTGTATGTGGGTGGACAAAGCAAGAGTTTGACTAAAAAACCTCACTTGATCTATGGCACAAACTGCATCAGCTCTTCTTGTTGCCTTACATTGTTACAGTTGACTTCGGAGCAGGCGGAACTGTTCCTGCAGCCCTTCTTCGACATCCTTACAGACTCGCCGGCGTAAGTCCTCTCATAATTTAGTTGTATCACTTCCAAGGTTTAGTTGCTGTCCCATAGTCTGATAGTACGACTTATGCGCTTTATACTTCAGTCACATTTAATCTCTCTAAGTTAATATGCTTTTTTTTTACAGTTGTGAAGTGGAGTTGAGGAAGTATGTGGACCTTTTTTTTTTATTATTCCACTTCCTTTTTTGACTCTGCAAGGGACAACAGTTTAGAGAGTTCTATGTGTGCAATATTTAATTTGAGAGACAAATCAGACTGATGTGTGTGTAACAAATGTTGGGACATCGCTCCTTTTGGGTGTTGCATAAGCTTTGTCTGGAAGTGGGAATAACTGCAGTTCACCTCAAGACGGATCAAATTTTTTATTGTGAATTGAATTTTAATATTTGGGTGTTGCATAAGCTTTGTCAGGAAGTGGGAATAACTGCAGTTCACCTCAAGAGAGATCAAATTTTTAACTGTGAATTGAATTTTAATATTTTATATTTATTGTAAATTGAGCTTGGGTACTGTAAGAAATCTCAGCTGGAAATGTTTTCTAGAAAGCCTACCTATGAGAAAGAACAGTTTTATTACATGCAAAACATTTTACATGTATGAAACAATAAGGCCCTTATAAGATGGGTTGGATAAAGCATAATATGACATCGCAAGTAAGCAATGACTATTTTATTTATTTAAATACAACCTGAGGGTTTTTTTCCCTGCAGCATCTTAAGAACAAGAGTCGGGCTATAATTATAACCGTACGAATCCACAGTCGGCGGATTTAAATCTCTACTAAGGTGCCTGCAATCTGACTGGGGCTATTGCAAGACTTCAGGTGCACGTCAAAAGATCCCCAGGTGGTCGATATTAATCCCCAGTCCTTAGCTGTGGCATGCTAGACGGCCTTTGTTGGTTTGACGCGAAAAACCTTCCAGTTTTATAATTAAAACAAAAATTTCTGAGACCATTGAGCCAGCTGAGTTGCTCTGCCTTGTCATTTGTTTCACCCAACACACTGGTGCAAAGCAGTGAAGCTCGGTGTGAAAAACCATAGGAGTCTGAAAACATTATTTACACTTTTTGAATACTGTAAACGACTTATTTTTTGCGGGCTCAATATTTCGCGATTTAGTCCAAAGCTGAACTTTTCAAATAACTCGCATAATTCTATTTTTCGCGACGCGGTAGGACCTCAGTATAGATTCCAATGTGTTTACATTTTACCGGTTTTGTTCGCAAGACCTATCTATCGCGAAGGCCTAATTTTCACGAAATTCGCGAAAATTAGGCCTTCGCGAATATTAAGTCGTTTACAGTATTGGAAAATCTCGAATACTTTGAACAGTACAAGTATGCTGCAAACCAAATAACTATTTCTGAATTATGAAAATTTTTAATATTTGCAAGTTTCTAGAGACTTTGCCACTACGTCACAGGGTCACAGCGTGACCTGTCAGTGCCAAGGAAAAGTTTTAAAGAACTTTTCGAAAGCACCTTTTTTTATATGATTTTAGTGTAGACGCCTTTGGCTATCGAGCACAGATTACTATAGCTGGCAGTTTTGCCGACTTACGAGTGTGAAATCTTCGCTGGTTTTAGTGTATAGTCTCTGACAATGCGAGGCCGGCAGAGCATCTTTTTCGGACATACTCGTTGCCTTCCGCCATGCTTTTGCTGCGTGTGCACGCTCGGGGCTCTTGAAATGCCGAAGCATCTTCGAAGGCAGGACGCTCGGGCTGGTGGCGGGACGTACGAAATCCCTTCCTGCCGTCCTCAGCCTGTCTGTGATTGCAGAGTTGGGACCATTCATACTCTTCCCTGCACAGTGGCACCCTGGTGGAATTTGTGAGGAACAACGTGTTCTTCCTGATGATCGACCTGGACCGGGAGGCTGCCGAGCTGGAGCAGGAGGGGGAGGTCCCCAACTTGGACGAAGAGGGAGAGGAGAAGGACAGCGACGAGGAGGAGGACACCTACGACGAGCACGGCCGAGTCATGGAGAAGGGCGAGTCGTCGCAGGACCTGCCCGCCATTCCCGTGGGTCCCAACACGCTTCTCGCGAGCCGTCTTGAGAGTTCCTAATTTGCGACGCATTACTTACCCATTCCTAGTTCTTGGGTATTTGTGACCCTCAACTGCTTATAATTGTTGTATTCAACATCGAAGTTGGTGCTTTCAAAATCAAATTTCTAGACACTAACAAAGTAAAAGCAAAATTTAAAAAGAAAAGTTGGTGTGGCCCTTAGGTTGAGCCGTAAACTAAGCCAGGAGTAAGCCTGCACCGTCCAAAACGGTCAAGCTCGTAAACCAGGGAGAGCAGATGAGCTACGCGGGTAGAAAATGAGGGAGAGGAGGAGAGGAGAGCGCGCATGGACTTCAGAGCACCGGGCTCCGGTTGGAATGATTAGTGGGTAGGCACTCAAGGTTGGCTGCCTTCATCTCTACTCGCCCTTCATTCACCTTCGAACGCTGGCATTTGGCGGTCACTTTTGAACAGTGAGTGGAGACAATGGAAGCTGGCTTTATGCACCTATCCACTAATCATTCCAAACAAAACACGGTGTTCTGACATCTCCGTACACTCTCATCTCATCCTCTCCCTCAGTTTCTACCCATATTGCTCGTCCTGAACGGTTTGAGGGATGTCACCACTTCCAAAACGGTTGAGGGGTAAGTGATCTCTTGCCGCCCAGCCGTGATTCATGGCACGCCTCTCATGCTTTGTTTTAAGGATTCGCATTGTTCGTCAGATTACAGTCCTCTCGTTAAACCGCCATCTCCATTCCCCCTAAAAACCATTCGTAATATGAATCAATAGAAATAATGAGACAAAAATGCCCGTATTTACCCAGTTCATTTCGGTAAATTCGGTCTGCATATCAGGGTATTCATATTAATGAAATACAATCATAAAAGGACTGCCCTTAGTCTTGAATTGGCGAAGAAAGCGGCACAGATAGCTAGGGAAGCATTCCGGGTCAGAAACGTTTCTCTGAGCTAGCATCGCCTCTGCTTCCGTCTCTTCAAGAACAAAGGGCCAGTCCTTTTTGATTATATTACTCCTGAGAGCTTGTTTTCTCAGCCCAGGTTGGTCATTTTGCGAGACATGACTGTACTTTGAATGCTAATCTCTTGTCATGCTAATCTCTTGTCATCCTATGTTTTGTTGGCAGCTGCACAGGGTGTTGTGAGTACTGGGCTGTTTGTTCCCAGGAGTTTGCCTGGCTGTTTTTACAACCACACTTCATTGGAATCTGGCAAAAGTATGCCTGTATTATGACAGAAGTATGATTTTCCTCCTTTCGAGGTGGGTGATTTGACATCAGGTGCACTTTTATTTCGGTACGTTGGCAGTGGAGTATCGTTGCTACACACTGCAAGTGCTGAGGTTGCGAAGATTTTTCTTTACGTTGTTAGGCAATTCATCGTAATGAATCCCCTACCGTTGGAGCATTCTTCCTCTCATGTTCGTTCGTCTTTCTCATTGCAGTTTGACTACGAGAGGATAGCAAACAAGCTGTTCGAGTGCACCAAACGGCATGCTCTCAAGCCGGCTAACCGTCTGGTCATCACGCGGCTTGTCAAGAAGTGAGTAAACTTCAGGCACTGCTCATGCTTTATAGATTTGGTCATCTGTCAAAACAGTGCCATCTTGGTGTGCTCATAAGAGGTATGCATAAGGTAGCATGGCCTTCTAATGAATTTTACGAAAACCGAAAGGCTGCAGTACGCTCAGCCTTTTGATGTAATTTTCTGCGCACATTTGGTACCGTTGGGCTGATGTGGCAGCGCACTGTGGCCATTTCAGAACCATTATTTAGCCAAGGATGTGGCTCTCATCTTTAACTTCCATTTTTGTTGGTTGTGGTTTCGAGTGAGACACACTTTACATATGTCTCCCTCAAAACCACAACCAACTTAGAGGCTTCTTTTACGCAAAAAAAAAAAAAAAAAAAAAAAACCTTTTTTTTTTTTATGGTACTGTGTTTGTTTTTATCACGGTGTAAGATATAAGTGTGGACGCTGTGCACGTTGGAGCTGCCAGATGAAGTCCTCTTCTCGCCTTGGTGGAAAACGGTGCCGTCAGATGGCTCCTCGATGTGTGGCCAATGGCAGCCTGTCACGGGCCGGGTTTCCCACGCTTTATGAGAGGAGCACTTTTTTTAAAAGTTGTTTTCCGGGTGCGCCTTGCCATTTAGAACTTGGCACTTGCGCCACGCATGTTGCTTGCACACTGTGTCGTCATTGACTCTAGTTTTGGGGCCTCAACGGCAGCAATAGCATTTTTATGGCCGCGTTGAAGCTAAGAGATCCCTGGTGCGGTGTTCAAGCCAGCGTCCCTCAAGGTCGAAGCAGACGCTCTAGGCAAAAAAGGTGCACGACCAAATGCCTTGGAAATGAGATACTTTTGTTGTTTTTTGTAGCATTGTTTGGATGGCGGAGGTGCTGTCGGCCGAGGCTACTTGGACGCGTGCCAGTGGGGCTTTGTCTAGTCAATTGTGTTACAGCATTCGCAGTGTTGTGTGTCCTCATGTAGGTAAATGTACCTTACACCGAGGTTTTTAATGAAGATGTCTAGTTTAGTATCAGAGTAGAAGAACTTGGTTAAAATTAGGGTGTCGAACCGAAATTTTTAACGGTTCGGTCCGGATTCGAGTTTACAGATTTCGGTTCAAGTTCAGTTCCAGGGAGCAAAACATAATGCTTCAAACCGGTTCGAATTGCTAAATTGGGAATATATTTTCCGCATTGTTCTGGCAATAGACACTATTTACGCCACCAAGCTATTAACTATATAGTTTCTTGTATCATCCGTGCAATTCACTTTTGTTTTCAGATACCAAAAATATGAAATTTAGTTATTTAATTTCGAGGCAACAGTAAAAAAAAAAATCTACATTAAAATACATGACGTCGTGTTCATACGACTCAAGATCCCTTTGTTTACCAGTCAGATATATTTTACTTGAATCAAAACGTTTAAGTACCTCTGCTGTGCTCTCATCGCGCGACGCAGCAGAGGCGGGTTGCACTATCTTTCCACAGGCGCGGTGCCGCCGGGGGCCCAGATGCTCTCCGATAGTAAGCCGAAACTTAAAAACCCGTCAAATTTGTGCGGTTTTTCAGAAAGCCGTAAAATGCTTCGTGTGCCTTCCCTCGTTCTGCAGTTTGTTGATTTAGTGTTTTTTGACCATGCTGAGCAATTTTCTAATTTAAACCATGCCGTTAAACACAATATTAAAGAAGTTAATTACGCAAAAATAATTAACAACCTAATTATCTCAGACTTTAATAATTTTCCTAAATGGGCCCCTGGCCCAGGACCAAAACGACACAAGCCTTTTTTCGTTGCGATGAGTAGTTTTTGCTGGAGCGATTTGGCCTGAGTTCTCTGAAACACCCTGTATATAAGGACGACAGAACTGAGTTAAAAGCAATGAAATTTTCAAAATGTCACGAAAGTTTTAGGATAATCCCTTTCAGTCTATTTTTATAGAAACTCCGAGCGGCAATCACAGTGCTTGTTTTTCTAACCAAACATTGTTTACACTCAGCACCGCGATTCATGTGACTTATCATGCACAAAGGAGTAATCGAAATTGTTCACTCTAATCTATACGCACCTCGCACTCAGATCGAATCTGGCCTAAAATAGTGCTTGTACAAGTGAACATTTTTTTATACAGGATAAGCTGGCATAGCCTGACTGTTGAGGTTTGTTCTTGACAAGATGTCGGTCAATTTAATTTGCAAATGAGCATTGCCCTTGCTAATTTATGATTTTAATGCGATAGCATTAAGGAGCTCATGTCGCAGAAAAGCCAATGTCGGTGGCGTGACTGGAAAATCCTGATTGGTCGATAGGGTCATGACGTCACAGCAACATGCCCTCGTGCAGGAATTTCAAACAACCCACAATGCTCACAGGAAACGTTACATCATGCGTGGAATGAAAGTGATTAAAACAAGACCTACAATGTTAATTAAAGGTCGCCGTATGTCTAAAATGATTTCACTTTATACAAAGTAATTCCTTTGTCTTAAAGGAAAAAATAATTAAGAACTTTATGCAGGATTCAAACTCTCGACCCTTCGGTTGCGAGTCAGACACGCTCCCGACTATACTCCGTTTCACCTTGTGTTGTACCGCAGCGAAGGCTAGAAGCGCGAGCTCATAGCATTTGCAGCTACTATCATTGCGCGAGAGCTTGTGCCGATGAGATGTACCCTGAGCATGGAGCTCGCGCTCGTAGCCTTTCCTGCGGTATATCATAAGGTGAAACAGAGTATAGGCCACGCGAGGCATGCTTGTACGGCGAATGCGAAGGTGATGCGAACGAGGCCCGTTAATGTATCGCATTTATCTTTTAAAGACGAAGGTTCAGCTTCCTCAAGATTGTTTTGTTTAGTAAAACGAAGTAGTATTTTATGTCCTGCTCGACATTGCAGCTACTTAATTTGACACTTTCTGACTTTTTGCGTGCATAACCGTCATAGTTCTACCGTGTGCCCCTGTGTACTTCGCTTTTGTACAGCCCACAGACATATAAAAGTAATGTTCACCACATAAAAGAGTTCATAATAGACTCCTATATGTTTGAGAAGTATTAGGTGTGAGGAACACATAGTTATGCAAGTTAGCTTCAAAATCAGAAATGTGTGTAGAGCTCTCTCAAATCACTTACAACGTGCCTGTCGGGGATAAAAACGCCAGGAAAGGTTTGCAGAGCACCTTTCAGATAATTGGGGCAAGGGGGAGATGGAGGCATTGCTTTTACCCTTTATTTATGTTGTCAAATCTTCAGTTAATAATTAAATATATTTTTATAATGGTCAATAAATTTTACTTCATAAAGTTTACATAACCGCTTGAGACTGACACGGAAGGACAATAGTCACATTTCGTCATTTCAAATATTTCTGTTCCCATGGAGGACATTTTTCCGAGGCAGTTCAGCAAGAACGAAAAAATATTTTGGTGCCTCAATAATGTAAAATTGGTTGTGCAACATTTTTTGTACTTTCAGTAAATACTGTTAAGAAGTAACCCCTGATGTTGATAGCTTGCAAAGACATCTATTAGTTTCCCCTCTGCGCAATAGCAGATGCAGAAAAAATAAAGGAAAGAGACAGCTGTCTATCTTCTCCTCAACTCGCAATTGGAACAAGCGGCCATGTGATCTGACGCTAGTTATATACCGTCAGTGTTCGTCATAGTCATAGGTATCGGAGCTAGGGTTTGCAAAGCAAAAGCTTAGGCTGAGCTTCAGATATTGTTAGAGTTGGGGTATTACCATATTTAATTGAACGTGAGCCTTTACCCGAACGTTTGGCGATGCTGATTGTCATGAACCCGAGCACTAGACTCAGGGTTATGAAAATCGCTTACGTCTCGGTGCGAAATCATGATTTCATGTTGCGTCACGTTTTCAACAAGGTTAATACATCTAGCGACTTCCTCAAATTAAATCGATAAAAGACAATTTTCTTTGTTTCATTTGAATGCGCGAAGTTTAAGAAATAAACACGAAGGTGTTGACATGTTACTCGATCAGTTAAACCATAATTTTGATATTTTAGCTTTTACTGAAACCTGGTTTTCAAACGACTACGATGTCGTTCGCTTCGCGGGATATGAGTGCACGTCAATATCCCGGGACAATATGAAGGGAGGGGGTGTGGCGCTGTACGTAAAGGAACACCTAGATATACATGTCGTGTCAGAATTCTCTATAATTAACCCCCATTATGAGTCTCTCATGGTAAAGTGTGCAGGTACCATAGTTGTCGTTGTGTATAGACCTCCTTCGGGTACAGTAGCCACGTTTCTAGAATTCCTGGAAAATATGCTGGAATGGTGCGCCCAAATCGGTGAACATGCTATTATTTGTGGCGACTTTAATATAGATGTGTTATCAGCAGATCCAGCCAGACAAAGGCTTCTTGATGTTTTTCATTCTTTTGGTCATGAAAATGTAATTCATGTCCCAACCAGGGTGACGGAAATGTCTCAGACCTTGCTTGACCTGTGCTTTACAAACTATCAGGTGAATGAGCTAGAGGCGGGTGTTCTGCTATCGGATCTAAGTGACCATTTACCTATTTTTATTTTTTTACCCCCTTGTTCAACACAACGTAAAGAACCCACAAGTCATGCACACATTATGTATAGGGTCATTAACGATAAAAATATTACGTTGTTTCAAAGTTTAGTCGAGGAGGAAAACTGGAGCTTCGTTCTTCGGTTGGATGATCCCGTTGCAGCATACGACTTATTTTCTACAAGAATTAAGATACTATATGATCAAGCGTTTCCAATGGTTCCATTTAAAAGGGACAGGAAGTCTAGAAAGCCTTGGATTGATGCCGCACTTCTTAGGAGAATAAAAGAACGAGATAAGCTCTTCGCCCTTTTTATAAAAACAAAACATCCGGATTATCTAGCTGAATTTAAAAAGAGCAGAAATAAACTAGGCGCTGATATTAAACGAGCACGAAATGTGTATCATGAAAATAAGTTCGCGGATATATATAATAATCCCAGAAAAGTGTGGAAAAATGTAAACGACCTACTTTCTGAAAACGAAAGAAAAAATATTTCTGAGCTTATATTTGAAGGCGTGTCCTGTACAGGGGCTAAGCTTGCTGATAAATTTAATGCCCACTTTTTGATGTCCGGTGCTTCCCCTGGCAATGTTATTAGTAGTTGTGATTACGAATCTTACATCTCACCGAGTATTGAGAGTTCAATATTTTTGTTTCCTACTACTGAAACCGAAGTATACAGCCTAATACACAAACTTAAGAATAACAGTGCTTGTGGTGAAGATGGTATAAAATCCCAGCCTATAAAATCAGTTGCTCACTTAATTAGTGGGCCAATCTCACATATATGTAATCTAATTCTGAGTACCGGCATATTTCCCGATAAATTAAAGATAGCAAGAGTGTCGGTGATTCACAAAGGAGGTGATAAAAATGACCTAAATAACTACAGACCAATCTCTGTTCTTCCCATTTTTTCCAAACTCATAGAAGGAGCTATTAATGCACGACTAATAAATTTTTTTAAACAAAATAATGTTATAGCTGAGCAACAGTACGGCTTTCAGAAGCAAAAATCGTCTGAATTGGCGCTGCTAAACATCAAAAATAAAATAATTGACAATTTCGAGCAGAAGTTATATACAGTAGGAGTGTTTCTTGACTTCAAAAAGGCGTTTGATTCAATCAAGCATCATATTCTTTTCAGCAAATTGTCCAAATATGGAATTAGGGGAATCTCACTTAGTTTAATAAAAAGCTATTTATCGAATCGTTCACAATATACAGACATAAATCACGCGAGGTCAAATATCGGTAAAATAGAATACGGTGTCCCGCAAGGGTCCATTCTTGGTCCTCTCTTATTTTTAATCTACATAAATGACATTATAAGAATACCTCAAACACCAGATATAATTTTATATGCTGATGACACAAACATATTTTTTTCTGGAAGAAGCCTAGAAGTACTCGAGCACGAAACGAACGCATGGCTTGGAAATTTATCATCGTGGCTTAGAGCAAACCAAATTCAATTAAACACGAAAAAAACAAAGTATATTATATTTCGACCACGAAATAAATGTATTCAGCAGGAGATTCAAATTCAATTTCAAAGCGAAATCATCGAACGTGTTATATCACATAGGTTCTTAGGTGTTCTGTTTCATGAAACTCTAAATTGGTCTTTCCATGTGCAGAGAATAAGAACGGAAATCTCACGCTCAATCGGGATTATCTATAGACTTAAAAATGTGCTGCCTCACTGGGTAAAAAAACAACTATATTATACCTTAGTTCATTCACGTCTTCACTACTGTCTCCTTGTATGGGGGACCACAGTAAAAACAAATATAGAAACCCTGCACATATTGCAGAAAAAGGCCCTGCGCTTGGTCGAAAATGCCCCGTACCGGAGTCACTCTGCTCCGCTCTTTAGAAAGCACCGAATATTGACTATTCAAAATGTTATAAATAAAAAATTATCTTTATTAATCTATAATCAAATCAAATTAGAACCAACTGTCTTTTTCAGTACGTATCTTTGGACAGATCATCCCTACAATTTTCGGCACACCACCTACAGAAGGCAAAAAATACGCACAAACTATGGCATACAAAAATTAGATTATCAAATACCTGTACTTCTGAATGACCACCCTGATCTCATGACCATTATTCTGGGAGGTATGTCTATATAAGCTTTAAAGAAAAACATAAATGTCTATCTATTGTCCCTTCAAAAATAACATGTTTTTTTTTCAGTATTTTTTTTGTGTGCGCGTATGTTGTTTTTTGTGCAGCATCTCTTTGTAGAGATGGCTGGCTGGCTGCACTATGTTGTTGTTTGTGGCCCCTTTGTTTGTCATGTTTGTGCAGGCATAAAAATTGATGTGCCTCGTTGTTGTTTGTCTTACGTGGGGGAGAGCCTGTTTTAGTTCATTGTTTTCTCTTTGTTTACAGTGTTCTGTACCGCTTATGGGATTTTATGTTTGATCTTTCATGATCAAGTAGTTTTCGTCATCTAAGTCTTTCATTTTGTCTGGACGTGGAGGTGGCGGGGGGCTGTCGCCTTGTCAGGCATGTCGATGCCTTTTGTGACGGCCCCCCAGACAGCTGTATTCCTCGACGGTTGTCTAAATAAACTTTGATTTGATTTGATTTGAAATCGACTTGACGAAGTGAGTCACGTGACGTCGCGGGGTCACGTGATATTACTTGACAGCATGTATTGACACCATGACGTCACGAGACAATGTGACGCATGGTTGATCATAGTGCCAATACAAAAGCGCCACGAAAACTCACAATTGATCATACATTGGAATTCTGTATATGACGATTTAATCAAAAGATAGAAATACAGCTGCCAATTTTTTATTCCCGTGTATTAATTTTGTGATACTAGCAAAAAAGAAAAAAAAAACACCTTGAACTGTTTTGAACCGGTTACCGTTATATTTTTTTTTGTTTGGTTTGGTTCCGGTTCAGTTTCAAGATGGCGGTGAAGATTTCGGTTCGGTTCAGTTCCGGTTCAGCTAAAAATAGCGATTCAGTTCGGTTCTGGTTGACGCCCTGGTTAAAATATTAGCTTGCAGTGATGTCAAGGGATCATTTGGCATTTTGAGGCAATAGCTTTATATGGAAATCCTGCACAAACCTCGTTTGTGGTGTTAGTGTTGGTCATACCATTAAGCAACTATCGGAGAGGGTGTCGTCAACAGAGCACAGGTGCAACCATGCTCCGTTGAGTAGAGCACCACGTGCCAAGAGGTAAGCAATGCACCAACACTTTGCTCTCCTCTGCTGCGTACAAACGTGAGGGCTGCGTAGTAGGGTAGGAACCACACACTGTCCACTGTCCCACCTTCTTCGCCTTTGACGGAATGTCTAAGTCGGGCGACTTTTGTTGTTCAGGTATCGGAGCATCCTCCAAGAGGGGCTCCTCAAGCCGCCCGCTCCGGATGACGACCAGGGCGACATCATCACGGAGAAGGAGGTAGACGACGCTGCGATAAGGCTGGAACAGGAGCGGCTGGAGGAGCTGGAGAGGGAGAGGCAGGAGCTGCAGAAGCTGAAGGAAGGCCGTTCGCAAGCAGCAGATGCCCAGTTTGGGTTCGACTCGACCAGCGGAGCGTACGAGTACCAACGAGCAGGTTCTGACGACGACGTCGAATCTGGCAGCGAGTCCGACGCGGACAACGACACGACGGAGGACAACGAGGAAGCACCAAAATCGTCCTCCCTTGAGGCAAAGAAGCGAAAGAAACGTGGGGCTCGTGCTGTTCCACTTGACGAAGAGAACTGCGGCGTCAGTTCCGACGAGGAACCCTTGGAAGCCAAGAAGGCTTCACCCAAGAAGCGAGTACGAAGGAGGTTGCGGAAGTTCGCTGTACCGGAGGCTTCGAGTTTAGACGAGACTGGCCAGGAGGGGAAGGAATGCTCGCGCGAAGACGAAGCCGAAAGGGAGATCGGCGCTCTCTTGGAGAACAGAGTGTCAAAAAGTAAGAGGAAACGGGGCGGGAGCATGGAACGAGTGGGTGACGATTTGGGCAGCGACAAACCGGAAAGCTTGAAAAAGGCGAGAAAGCGTAGGAGGAAAATCCGCGCAGAACCGGCTACTTCTGACAGTGGTCAAGGGGTCGAGGCAACTGGCTTGTCGGAGCACGACATCGGCGAAGGAATTTCGAAAAAAGTTGCAAAGAAGTCCGGGGTAAATGGCATGGGTTCGGGTTTTCCTGGGAAGAAGCAGAAACTTTACGTTGGCAAGAAGGTGGAGAGACTTGTTCTAGGCAAGGCACCTCGAAAGAAGTCCATCCTGAAGAACAAGGGAGGCTTTGCAATTGTTTGCAACTTGAAGGCGACAAAAAAGAATGGTTCTGCCTTGCCAGCCAAAGTTGAAAGCAAGGATGCTGGTGTATCTCTGGGACCAAAGAAAAGTAGGAAGGTGAGAAAGCAGGAGGCACTAAAGAGAAAGCAGGAGCAGGTGCCTAACGGAACTCCTGACACTTTCGAGCCGAAGACAGAATCTCCCAAGGTGGTTGGTTTGACGGGAACCGAGACGGCTGAAAGAAAGCGGGTTCCCTTGATCACGCTCACGAAAAGATTGGATGCTAAAGGACCAATATTTTCAATCAAACCCGAGAGTGGGTCACCTGCGGCTACACAAAGCACTGAGGCGGAAGGGGGGCAGTTCCAAGTGAGCACCCCAACTGCTGCCGTCTTTCGCAAATGCCTCAGCAAAGTGCAATCGGAGAAGCCATATGTATGTTGTTTGTTCCTTTTTTGTTGTTTTTGTGCCCCTTTTGGCATGTATCGGGGACTGAGGTTACTTTGTATTTTGCAGAGAATGAAACGGATGGCACCAACAGAAAAGTTTTCGTTGTCTTTTCAAGGAGAGAAGAAAGTCAACTTTGCCCTTTCAAGGAACAAGTCACAAGGTTAGTACTACAGTCAAACCCCCTTATAAAGAAACAGCAGGAAACACTACGATCAGTTCGATATAGCAAAAACATTTACAACAAACTTTCACGATGCTTCTGTTGTAAGGCGGGAGCTTATCTTTCTTTCTCATCTCTTTGCCGCGGCCTTTGAACAACGCGCTGTAATTATTTTTCTTAATATCTTTTTTTTGCATGCGTGCAGGTTTTGTTATTTTAGCTTATCTCCCCTTCTGAATCGCTTTTCTTCGTGGTAATAGAGATGCATGCTTTGGGATGAAAAGTTTTTAATGTGCGCACCGCACAGAGTGTTTTTTTTTTAGCTTTCTCCCCTTCTGAATTGCTTCTCTTCGCTCAATTTTGTTTGCAGCTTCAGCTTTTGGAGTTTTCATTTTTTCCTACTTTTTTTTTTGGAAAGGGAGGGAGGGGGGGGGGGGCTAAAAGACGATTGTTTGCACGTCTTTGGAAGCCTTCCCGGGAAAAAAAAGTTTGATATAGCCAATGTGTTGTTCTTTATAAAAAGTTTTTTTTTCATCCATTTTTATTAAAATTTTTGGTGGGTTCGATATCGACAATAATTTTTTATACGTGGGTTCCTTCTAAACGGGTTTCACTGTATGTTGCATACGTTTGTAGTAGGTCAAAGGTAGTTCCTTTTGAAGTGCAATTCATAAGGCTTCCAGGTTTTATAAATACATATAAAATAGCATGCAGCATGGGACAACCTTGGCAAAGGGTAATTCAAAGTGCGGGTGGTCAAGTAGCAACTTGTTCTGTGCTATTGCGGCTTTCAGTTACGGTCAATGAATAACAATATGTTCGACTTCACGCCATGCTTAATGGTATCTCACTATTTTTTAAACTTCTTTTCTAGATCCAAGAGAGTACTTTGAAACCCTGAAGAACAGTCCTGAGATTCCGTTTGACGCCTCCAGAAAACCTGTCCAAGGCGTACTAAAGACCAATATGTCCCAGACACCAGCAGGAGTCAAGAGTCAAAAGCGCTCAAGAGCATCGGATTTCTTTTAAAGTGCCCCCGCATTATGTTTCTCACAATTTTAAATTTCCATGACTGACACAGATGAGTATGTGAAGCTGCAGGAAGTAATAGAGGAATTAAGAAAATTTTGAGTTCATTGATATATATGTGTGAAACTGATTCAAAATAACAAGCACCTTTCCCCTTTGTTGCTAGTGCCATTGAAATAGGAATAACAAGAGCATGCACTCACTACATGCCCAAATTTTCCATTCAGTTTTGAGGATGTGAATGACCGGCCTTTTTACTGGTGCATCTCACTAATATTTGCCTGAAGAGCACATGCTCTAAAACATCAGTAAGGGTTCACATTAACTTTTTCAGCCAGCACTGCATGTGGATGCCGAGGTCGCCATGTTTCACACTTCACCAATACTATTACCAAGTATGGACTTTAAATGCTTGTGTTTGCCACTAACTGGCACATAATTTGACTCAGAATTAAAGGGACCCTTTAATCGTGGAGCCACTATTGAAAATGAAGTCCTGCTGTCCTCTGTCATTACCAGCTCATAAATTTGATCCAATAGACCTATTGCTATATTACCCAAGCATCAAGGAGAATGCAGGGATTGGTGTTCCACACGCAGCACGTGCTGACGTCAGCAGTAATAACTTTTCTAAAGCAAATACCTAAAACAAATGGCATCTTGCACGCGCGTTCGTCAACGCTTTCTTTTGGTTATTTGCTTCGAATCTTTTACACGGGGAAGGCTTGCGCGTGTGGCATGTGGAACACCAATCCCTGCATTCTCCTTGTTGCTTGGGTAATATAGCAAATGCTCTATTTGGAGTTATCAATCTTCACTGTGCCATGTGCTCTTGCACCTGCTAGACCAGGGGTCTCCAAACCCCGGCCCCTTCTGACCGGCCCTCAGCTGGCCGCGGTCCTTCCAGAGACACCATTACCAATGCCCGCTTGCAGCAAGCCTGCTGCTACTGAAGCAAAAATAAACTCGCATGAAAAAACGGCGCATCCTTGCGTACATGAAGATGCAGAAACGACGAGCACTATTTATTCATTTTTTTATACTTTAAATTTCTATATTTATATTTTAGCCCTTGAGACTGCGACTGACCCCCAGTCTGGCCCCTTAGCCAAGATATTTGGAGGCCCCTGTGCTAGACAATGACAAGCATAGTTCGGGCTTTAAATTGCGAATGTGAATTCTAACATCCTTGGTTTTTACTTGCGATTAAGGTAATAGAGATGTGTGAATCCTCATGTACAGAGCACATGTAAAATATATTGGCTTAATGTCTTCGAGTTGTATGGTTTCTTTTCCTGACATTTGAATGCTAGAGATCACCTCTGGGGGCAGTCATTCAGCATGCTTTTCTCCCCATGCTTTGTTTTTTTATGTTTTCAAGGCTGCAGTCCATCATGTCTATACAACCATATGCATACAAATTTAGTTAGTGGTTACCATCACACCTCTGACCCACCCTTTACCCTTAAAAGTGCCCTGCAACAACTTATTGACTGGTTTTTATTTTGCACCGATCCTGAGCGCACTGAACATAGTAACTTGATGAAACTTTGCTTTTCTCAAATTTTGCTTTATTTTAAAAGTTATAGGCAAATTAGAATTACAAAAACAAGCAAAAAATAACCTCCTTCATGACGTCGTAGGTCCTGGCTTGAGTGGCCGTGAACTAGAGGAAGAGTAGTGAGCTCATCGAGCGCTTACGGCTGCCAAACACCGTGTCGACGGCTCGAGAGGGCGCCACTAAAGCACGTGTTGGATAGGCTCTATGAAGCGGGTGGCCAGGGCAGCTCGCATTGCATTTGCTGCACGATTAAAGACTAATTCGGCATAACACTTCATTGGCCATAAATGGCAGCAAAACACGGAATAAATATCAGTTCAGAACGGGAGCCACTTCACGCTTCCATACCGCCAAATGGCAAAATCGCCAGCCAAGCCCGCGTCGAATCCTCGAGCCAGTATACGACCGCAGGGCCGCCGCATACATCCGGGACCTCTCTACGCTTGTCGTTCGTCGGCGCCTCATCGCAATAGCCCTTTCGAGTATGCACCGTTTTTTCCGCCACTTGGTGGCAGGTATGTCGACGGGTCATTTCTCGTTTCCATTCTTTAAAAACTGCATTTGTTTCTTTTCTGATCTAAAATACAGAACAAAAACTACTTTCATACATAATTGAAACGGTTCGCGACACTTATATTTTGTATCTCGACTAAAAAAAGCTCTTAGCACTTCTGACCTGTAGTAAGCCCAGAACCAAGGACGTCGCATATCGCGCGCTTTCGGCAACGCGGGTCGCCCTTGTAGGTCGAGGAGGTTTCCGTGTCGTCCGGTTAAAGTATGACGCATTGATATTTAGTTGCTCTCTCCGTGCCCGCTGGCTTGCCCGAACCCCAAGAGACGTGGATATCGCAAAAAAGGTAGACGCTTAAATATGATTGCAGGGCCCCTTTAAGTGTCAAGTATTGTGTGATAAGCACAGGCCGATGAAATAGCTGGTTGCTAAGTCTGGCTGTGCTCGTGATACTATCCTGTCAAGCTCTGTTGTAAGGCATTTCACACTGCATTTGTGCAGTAACTGAAGGCATCGTGGCCAATGTTATAAAGCAGCTGCATATCTATAAAATTTTAACCCTAAATACCCCCCCCCCCCCTCCCCCGTTTTCCTTTTTGACTTGCACCTGTGACCCAAATACCTCAACAACGTCATCCCGGTACCGAGAACTGAAAAAAAACGGAGCAAGAGACATTAAAATAAAAAAGCAACCTCAAGGAGAGTTTTAGTCTGGCTTCTCCCAACCATAAACACCTGCCATCAGGTAATACACCTGGTCCGCCGTGTGGGCAGAGCCGGCCAATTAGTTGCAGCTTTCGCCTTAAACAAGATCTACACTCTCTCTCACTGTGTGCTTATGCAAACACTGACGAAACATATACAGTCCACTCTTAATACGCTACATAGAGCAGTTCTGCACCTCCCTATACACGCATCTACAAATAAACTCTATGGTACAGGGCTCTTTCTCCCTCTTTCTACTCTCCTCGGTCTTCACAGGGACCGTCACCTGGGCCCCCTGTCTGGCTCTACGCAGGGCCACTGGCTCCTGCAACAAGCTGCCATACGATCTATTGATTTCCCCTTACACCGCTCCCCCAAAATACCGGGTCCCTATCGTTTTGTGGACAACTTTTTATGGACACACATTTCATTGAGACAAACGTTTCATCGACAATCGTTGCGCGAATCGCACACTGTAGGGAAATTTCTTCATGCGTGTATCACGGGTGCGCTTTAACCCACCTGCCAGTCAGCATTCGCAGTGACGGCTCATTTCAAAAACGTTAACCCACCTGACTGACCCATGCACGCCATACATGAGTAAATTACTTTCAAAATGTCATTTAATTACAATTACTTTGCTTCAAAAGTAGTTTAATTACAATTACTTCAACATGAAAACTAATTAATTACCAATTACTTTTAAAATGTAAGGAAATTACTTTACAATTGTTTCTAAGCGATCCGACTTGGGCCATATGACTTATTTGTTCATTCCTTACTTCAATGTTCACGTATTGCACTTTCTTTTTATTAATTTTGTTAAATTCATGATGGAACTTGACAGTCTGGGGAAATGAAGTACTACATTCTTATATTTGTAATAAATATTAATAAATTAGTCTCTATGTTCAAGACGCCAGATCGCTAAAAAACAAATTGGGTTGACAGACTTTAGTTAGTGAGGCAAATAAAAATGTGACAATATATAAAAGTGTTAATATAAAAGTAAAATCTACATGCGCTAATACGACCACATTCACATTGTACAAACATCATGGTATGGTGAATTATTTACATTGAGTTGAAGTTATAATGGCTCAGAAACATATATGTACTGAATTGGGGCCCCCGAATCATTGGTTACAATGTTCACAGTTGCGAGGTCAGTCTCCAAAGTGCTTATGCAAATAATATCCGAAGTAAAACCAACCTCGGTGGCTCACATCGAACGGCTGGCTCTCGTCCGCTTAGCAGAGGAGCACCTCTAGGGTCTTTGTTTGACCCAAAGTAAAGGAATTTCTCTCTCTCTTCCACCTCTTTTCACTTCAGTAGAGCAAATGCTGGAGATCAGGTCGCCTCCCCTCCAGCGTTTGCTTTGCCAAAGGGGAGAGAGTTGAGAAGGGCTTCCATTTTACTCTTACTATGTTCTTGTTCTCCACAAAAAAAAAAAAAAAATTTTGGACAAAGGCATTACGGAGAAAAACACTCCCAAGTTTATATATAGGGTGTCCCAAGTCGCCAGGCTCGATCTAAAATGGACCGTAAAGATTATGGTGGCGCATAGCAATCTAAACTTTTTATCAAAGGTGTATTTCACAGGTCGGTTTTTTCTTGTAAAATTTAAAAGTGTAGCTCGCTTTCTGTAAAAAATAGAACCGAGGAATTTGCCAGGGTCAACGGCGGGCAGCGATGTAGACGACTAAGCCAAGTGGCAAGGCACGTTTGAGGCTCGTATTGGTAGGTGGCGCTACCTCCTTATTGAGAATAATCGGGGTTGTGTGGATATTTATATAGCGTGTAGTTGGTCAACCATTTCAAAGTTGCGACGAGTCGCTCGCTGTAGATGAGCAATTTAGCGAGTGCAGTACAACCGCTAGCCTGGGGTCTTTAGCGTGAACCACGCAGTAGTGATGCGCAACCGTAGGCCGGTACAGTGATCATCCAGATTGAAAGGACAGGGGTGGGGATTGAACCCAGGATCCCTGGGTTCTGCAGTGCGAGCTTTCGCTCAGCGGGCTCCAAGCTGGTGTGCTCTAAAGTAACTTTAGTGTGCTCTAGCCCAAACCTTATCGAGACTGCTCGCGACCACCGTGGTTCATTAAAATGAATATAATCTTTTTGTAATGTACCTTTAGTTCAAAAATAAATGCAAACAATAAAAACAAAAGTTTAAACAAAAAACGAAAAACCCTTTTAGTTTTTTTTTATTTTGGTGAAGGAAGACCAGCGAAGCTGTACTATGATGGGACGGCCTCAAGCACGACTTCGAGGACGACGTCTAGGACGACCTCAGGGACGACAACTAGGACGACTTCTAGGACAACGCCTAAAGAAATTCATTCTTTCCACTCAGGTGAAAACCAGAGTGAAAAGGCTGAA